CTTTTCCCACACCAACCCTTTTGCCAAAGTTCCTCAGAAGACATACCGATTTGAGGCTAATCCCTTTTATAACAAGGACTCTAAGACTACTTTAATTTGATGGCTTATAACAATGTCAAGATTGTCCTTTTATCTTATAGTTCATTTCTGACTTCCAGAGAAGTTTCTAGTTCTATATAAGGAAATCTGCCATGGTATTCCTTCTATTTATTTTTCAGTAAGTCCCTGAACTCACCTGAACCGCAGTTACGGTTGTTTGGTTGACTCCAAAAGGTTCTATAGAAGTGACTGCCAACACAGCAGTACCTGCAGTGGAACCAGCTTTCAGGAGCCCTTCACCATCCTCCTCAATGACAGATGAATTAGGGAAACACTTGAGCACACGGGAACTCACAAAGGCGGCCCCTTCCCTAGGAACAAACGGAGCAGGTGGCATTTTTGGGGGTCTCTGTTTGATCAGAAAGAAAGGAGCAGATGGCCAAGATCACTGTTAGAGACTGTACTCTAAGGAAATTGTTTGTCATTTTCCATGTATGTTTTGTTCTTATTCATTTGTCAGGTAAAAGACTGCCTTTAGATTATGCTTATTTCTTTAAAAATCAAATCCACATATTTATCACTAAAAAATTATTTGGCCAAAAGAACTTAAAACAGACATTTAAACACATACTTTTGCATGAATATTCATGGCAGACTATTCACGATAATCCAAAACAGCCCAAATGTCCATCAATAGATGAGAGGATAAATAAAATGTTTTATAGCCAGACAATGGAATATTATTCAATTATAAAATGAATGAAGTACTGATACATGCTACAATGTGGATGAACCTCATAAACATTATGGTAACTGGAAGAAGCCAACACAAAAGGTCACATATTACATGATTCCATTTATATGAAATATGCAGAATAGTTAAATTCACAGAGAGCTGGTTAGAGGTTGCCAGAGGCTGAGAGGAGGGAACAGGGAAAGACTACTTTAAGAGTTGCATCTCCTTTGGTGGTTATGAAAATGCTGTGGAGACAGAGAGAGATGCTGGTTGCACAATACTGTGGATGTACTAAATGTCACTAAATTGTATAGTTTAAACTGGTTAATTTTGGGTTATGTGAATTTCACCTCAACTAAAAAAGAATTATTTGTGGGTTAGAGAAATCACCTAGAAGGCAATGGTTCTTTTCATATGCAATGTTTTACTGAGGGTAAAGTTAGAACCTGGCTGCCCTACTCCCTTCTCCTTACCTATTAGTATGGAGTTTGAGCTGAGAGTTCATTGGCATCAGAATTTGCTCAGGGTGGCACTCTTGATAGAAAAGTTGGAGTTTTTCAAACACCTATAATGAGAAAATAATATTTTCCTCAGTTTTGAAAAAGATAAATGATGACCATTACTCACATAGGGACAACTACAAATCAACAGTCTGCCTGACTTCAGTTCAGCTTAATGTTCCACAATACTCCTTTCCAAAATGAGCCAGACACTTAAAAAATATCTAGGTATTTAGAATTATCTGACCTAATATTAGCCCTGAATCTGATTACAAGGGACTGGGCATGTGACATAGTTTACTACTATCTCTGTATTATTTAGATATTAAGTATGAAATAATTTATAAATTTCTAATTTTAGTTATGGCAACCTGAAAAGAGACTTAAGAACAAAGAATCTATAATATTAAACCAGCAAGGGACTCTATTCAGGTCTTCCATTTCCTAATGAAGTGCTCTTTTCTGTACTCACTGAATCAGAGAACCAAAGTGAAAATAAAGCAGAAAAAAGAAAAGGAAAAGACTAGGCCCAAATTCATCTGTAGAGTAACTTATTTGCTCCATACAAATGATAATTTTTGTTTTGGATTCTGAAAACAATAGACAATAGGGCCATTTAGCTTTCAGCCTGAGAACATCTGTAGAAACTATTCATACTCGTGTACCTTACCAGAAGTTAGAATTAGATTTCATTCTACTTGTTAGCTAAGTGGACCTTTTCATAATATCCATGTTAGGCAGAACAGCTTAGAAATGAACCCCTCTCTAGTTATTATGGTGTTCATATCCCATGGTCATTTGTGGGAGCTGAGGGGAGTGCATGTTCTATAGTTTCTAATGTCAGTACCTATGTAAGAGCAATTGGCAGGAATGACAAAGACCTAGGAACTATAAACCTGGTTGAGGGATCCCTCTAGCAGTTTCTCCATATCTATTCAGACTAAACTCTTTGTGGATGATAAGAGAATATAATTATCTTCTCCTTGACATACAAAAAAACCAAGATTTAGGTCTGGCAACTTACCAGGATCTGAACTTCATCAGACAGTTCTGACAAATTTCCCTCAAACTGCCCAGAGGAACTGTTCATACAGCGGATGGTGACTTTGATACTGGTCCGACCAGCTGCTTTTGTGTGGACAACCATGGCAAAGTTATTCTCTACTGGGAGCTGCAGAGAAACCTAGACAGGGGATGGATTAAAAAATATTCATGAATAATCACCATGCCCTTTTCTCTTTGTTGAAACAATAAGGAACATGTTTGCTGGAAATAGCTATCTCAAGGAATTAGAGTATCAGAGCTCATTTTCAGTTATTCCTTTTAGTATTTCCAGCAACACAGTCACCCCTAAAGTAAACCTCTGTGTGCAGAGTGTTCAACTAATTCTGGCAAGCCTCTGTAAGATTCTCATGTTATCTTGAAGTCGATTTAATTGGTAGAATGGAAATGAAGGAAGGGGAATCTAAAATGTGTTCAGACAGTAGAGCTTGAAGTGGGAGAGAAGGGAGGCAGTTTACTCCTGGAGTTCAGAGTGGTAGCGAGGAAGGAAGAGGACAAGAAAGAGAAGCTCAGACTAGCTGACAATCTGCCCATGTGCGTCACTCACCATCTAGTCTAGACCAGAGAAGGAGGACTAGACCTTCACAGATTTCTGGTAATAAGGAAGGTAGGGCCAACACCAAGACAAACGTTGAAGTAGGCACCTGACTGACTTTTGGCACTCATTTCCTGTCTTCTTGCTTCCCAGAGCCCTCAAGACCTTCCTTCTAGCACTCTTGACTCACACAGACTCCCAAGTTCCAAAATTACCTTTCCCTCCTCCCAGACACAGACATTCCCATTTTCTTTGGGCAGATCTCAATTTATTGCCTGAAAGAAAGTCTTATACTAAAGAAAGAGTGGCTTATAACTGTTTGGTCCAAGTGAATCTCCAAATGGTGACACCACAGTGCAGGAAATATACCTTGTAGGGCACTGGAGATCTTTCTATTGCCCATTTCATCACCCAGTTTGCCTATGTGGAATCTGATTCAGGAGAAGGGAATCTATGCATGGCTCTCAATAATTTCTTCCACTAGAGAAAAGAGCGATGCTCTACAGGAGAAACTGTAGGAAGGGAGGAGCAGAACAGACACTAATGTCTAGGCCTATCCTTCTTTCACATAACCCTTATTTGCTATTCCAGAACAAAAGCCAAATCCCTATGTAGGCCTCTACCAAACTAAGTACAGTTCCATTTCTCCTCAATTCCAAGCATAACCAGGCTCTCAGCAGCCCAGATAGATAGAAGACCTAACTGCCAGTTTCCCTAGATTATAGACATAGGATATATTAAGGAAGATTGCAAATAGATTTTTTTTTACTTTTTTCAGACTTCTCTTCTTTTTAGCTGGCTCCAGAAATACCCAACTAATTCTGGCTTCTATAATCCTTCTGTTCTCTCCCAAGGTCTAGCTCTAATTTTTTGTTCTGATGGACACTGAGCTATGACCTACTAGGTACCTTGGTGCCAGGTTCCTTCTTTATAAGGTAAAGCCCATACCTAGGTGACCGCCCCTGTCCCCAGGCCACCGTGGGAGGGTTTCATCAAACTAATGATCAGGAAATGATGTTGTAAACTAGGTAGTTTATAGCATCCACCTTTGCTCTTTTTCAGGTCTCTGAGTAAGGTTTAATGCTATGTATATCATATCAGAACTACTTTCAGAAAAATAAAAACAGGTTGAATTGTGGATTTCCTTGACATTTATCCTGAGAGATTTGGCCATTTCAGATGCAGCAGACATTGGATTTGGAGGGGCCAGTACCACCAAAAGGAACCATGGAGGAGTAGTACAATTTTTTTTTAATTTCCAGAGTGGTTTTTTTTTTTAAGTATAGTCAACACACAATATTATACTGTATTTAGTTTCAGGTGTGCAACATAATGATTTGACATTTATATACATTATGAAATACTCACCACAGTAAGTGTAGTTACCATCTATCTCTATACAAAGTTATTCAACATTATTGACTATATTCCCTAAGTTGTACTTTATAACCCCACAACTTATTTATTGTATAACTGGAAATTTGTACCTTAATCCCCTTCACCCATTTTTTCCAGCCTTCCACCCCTCTCTTTGGCAACCACCAGTTTGCTCTCTGTATTTGAGTTTATTTCTGTTTTGTTTGTTCACTTGTTTTTAAGATTCCACATATAAGTGAAATCACATGGTATTTATCTTTTTCTGACTTGCTTCATTTAGCATAATACCCTCTAGATATATCCATGCAAATGGAAAGATTCCATTCTATTTTATGGCTGAGTAATATTCTATTGCATATATGTACATCTTCTTTATCCATTCATCTATCAATGGGCAGTTAGGTTGTTTACCTTGCCTATTTAAATAATGCTGTGATAAACATAGGAGTGCATATATCTTTTTGAATTTAGTGACTTTCTTTTCTTTGGGTAAATTCCTAGAAGTGGAATTACTGGGTCATATGGTATCTCTATTTTTAGCGTTTTGAGCACCCCCCATACTGCTTTTCATAGTGACTGTACCAATTTACATTCCTCCCAACAGTGTTCCCTTCTCTCCACATCCTTGCCAACACTTGTTATTTCTTGTCTTGTTGATATTAGACATTCTCACTGTTGTGAGGTGCTACCTCATGTGGTTTTCATTTGCATTTCTCTGATGATTAGTGATGTTAAACATCTTTGCATGTGTCTGCTGGCCATCTGTACGTCTTCTCTGGAAAATGTCTATTCAGGAACTCTGCCAATTTTTAAAATTGGATTATTTGTGGGGCTTTAATGTTTGTGTTGAGTTGTACAAGTTCTTTATATATTTTTGATATTAGCCCCTTATCAAAATATATTCTCCCCTCCAGTAAGTTGCCTTTTCATTTTGTGGTTTCCTTCACGGTTTTATTTTTCTTGAAGTATTATTGATGTTCAATCTTATATTGGTTTCAAGTATACAACACAGTGGTTCAACAGTTACCCACATTATTAAATCCTCACCCCCACTAGTGCATTTATTATGTTAATATAGAAAGACGTTACAGAATCAATGACTATATTCTCCATGCTGTACTACTACCCCAGTGACCAACTTGTATTATGATTGAGAATTTTTGTGCCCCTTTATCCCCCTCACCCTCCCCTGTTAGCCACCCCAACCCCTCTCCCATAACCATCAGTCACTTCTCAGAGTCTGTGAGGATACTGCGATTTTCTTCACTGTTTAAAACAATTTCCAATTGTTTATTTTTTGCTATTTTTTGCTTTTGTTGCTCTTGCCTGAGGAGACAGATCCAGAAAAATATTACTAAGACTGTTCCAATAGTTTACTGCCTATGTTGTCTTTTTTGGAGTTTTCTTATGATTGGGGTTTTATATTTAGGTATTAATCCATTTTGATGTATATGGTATAAGAGAGTGATCTGGTTTTATTCTACATTCATTCATTGCATGTAGCTGTCCAGTTTTCCCAATGCCATTTACTGAAGAGCCTGTCTTTCCACATATTCTTGCCTCTTTTGTCGTAGATTAATTGACCATATGAGTGTGGTTTTATTTCTGAGCTCCTTATACTGCACCATTGGTCTATGGATCTATTTTTGCTCCAGTCTCATTCTGTTTTGATTACTATAGCTTTGTAGTACAGTTTGAAATCTAGGAGTATTATACCTCCAGCTTTGTTCTTTTTCAAGATTGCTTTTGCTCTCTGGGGTCCTTTGTGGTTCCATACAAATTTTGGCATTCTTTGTTCTAGTTCTGTGAAAAATGCTATTGGTATTTTGCTAGGGACTGCACCAAATCTGTAGATTGCTTTGAGTAGCATGGATGTTTTAACAAGATTAATTCTTACAGTCCCTAAGCATGATACATCTTCCCATTTATTTGTGTCATTTTCAATGTCTTTCATCAATGTCTTACAGTTTTCAGAGTAGAGGTCTTTCACCTCCTTTTAAAATTTATTCCTAGTTATTTTATTCTTTCTGATGCAATTGTAAATGGGATTGTTTTTTCAATTTCTCTTTCTGCTAGTTCATTATCAGTGTATAGAAATGCAACAAATTTCTGTATGTTAAATTTGTATCCTATGACTTTACTGAATTCATTTATTATTTCTAATAGTCTTTAGGTGGAGTCTCTAGGGCTTTCTATATATAGTGTCATGACATCTGCAAATAATGACCATTCTGGATGCCTTCTTTTTTTTTCTTGTCTGAATTGCTGTGGCTAGGACTTCCAGTACTATGTTGAATAAAAGTAGCAGGAGTGCTACTTGCTTGTCTTATTCTTGATCTTACAGGAAAAGATTTCAGCTTTTCACTGTTGATATGTTGTTGACTTGAGTTTGTCATTTGTGGCTTTATTATGTTGTGGTGTGTTCCCTCTATACCCACTTTGGTGAGAGTTTTTATCATGAATGGATGTTGAGTTTTGTCAAATGTTTTTTCTGCATCTGTTGAGATGGTCATATGATTTTTATCCTTTCTTTTGTTAATGTGGTATATCATATTGATTGATTAGTAAATATTGATACCACCCTCGCATCTTGGAATAAGTCCCTGGTGAATGATCCTTTTAATGTATTGAAGTTAGTTTGCTAATATTTTGTTGAGGATTTTGTATCTACGTTCATTAGGAACATTGCCTTTCATTTTCTTTTTTTGTAGTATCTTTGTCTGGTTTTGATATCACTGTAATGTTGGCCTTGTAGAATGAATGTGGAAGTGCTTTGTCCAGGTTTTGGAATGGTTTGAGAAAGGTAGCCATTAACTCTTCTTTAAATGTTTGGAAGAGTTTACCTGTGAAGCCATCTGGTTCTGGACTTTTGTTTGCTGGGGGTTTTTTGATTACTGGTTCAATTTCATTACTAATGATCAGTCTATTCAGATTCTTTATTTCATCCTGATTCAGTCATGGAAGAATGTTTATTTCTAGGAATATATCCATTTCCTTTATGTTGTCTAGTTTGTTGGTGTGTAATTTTTCACAGTAATCTCTTATAATCCTTTGTATTTTCTGTGGTGACAAATACCATTCTTTTTAAATTTGCCACTGATATAAGACACTCAGTCAACTTCCAATTGGTGGCCCACACTAGCCCCATGGCACCATGGCACGCTACATGCTCACAGTGGAAATCCAGTTCTTCCCCAGTTTCCAGAAGCACAGCCTCAGGAATGTGTTGAGCATCCACCTCTCTTATGCTTAATTTCAACTGCCCATGCAGCAGAAATGTATTATTGATATAATTGTGTTTGAACATGTTAAAAGATTATGTCACATATTTAAACTCTTTGTATATTTACTTTATATTCATAATGTTACTAATGTAACAGTTATTTGCTCACAAAAAAATTACACAATATTAAAGAAAACATTTTTTTTGAGAGCTCTTTCCAGCAAAATATATTAAAATTATATAGCATTATCTAAATACTAAAATTTGGATTCTTCATATGATTTTCAGGTTTTTAAATTTCACAGAACAATAGGAAAATTAGGTAAGTAACAATACTGTGTAGTTTACAAAGTGAGTCAGTCTAAAACATTATGAAGTGAAATAAATTTAATATCAAGATCCCTGAGGTAATATAATAAACAGATAAATTCATACCTCTGAATGCCTGGGCACTAGATCCAATACATCCCTTTTGCTCATGGACCAGTGGAATGTGAGCCCAGGGTTGGCACTGCTAAAGGAGAAAGGGGTCTGGGTACTGGTCACTCCCATGACATAAACTGGCATCTGAAAAGAAACAGTGGTTTTGTGTTATATCTCCTGCCCAGCTGACCTTAACAGAATAATGAACCCAGAATAGAGCCATCATACTCTACTGACCTCAGTACCTGTGATGAGTCGAGTTGTAGCTACAAGGATCCTAACAGCCCTTAGCTGAACAACTTCGATCTGCACTTCATCCTGCTCAACAGGGTAGAGAGCAAGCTTAGGCTAAGCGGGAGTGACTATGGGTAGACAGAGATGTTTATGATAACTAGTTTGTTTTTTGTTGTTTGGGGCATTAAATGAAAAAATTGTGCCATAGATACAATTGTTTTTGGTTCCTTAATTCCTTAAGGACAACACTATGTCCTATAACAATGCCAAATACTGTGGATTTTTCACTAAAGATTACATATTTCCATGCCTGGTTAAGAGAATGCCAAGTGAGGGACTAAAAGGGTTTTCCTGGGCTATTGATACCCTTCTTCCACCACTTCCCCCTCTCCCATCACCCAGTATGGTTCCCAGATGGAAGAGTAGAAACAGAGCAGAACAGAGAACCAATACCTGGGAAAACACAATGATTTTGCCAGTATCTTCATTTACTGTCTGGATGGTGCCATGGACCACAGCTGTGCCAACCACCTTCCCTGTAACTTGCCCCCTCCTATTAACAGCAGCTACAGTCTGGTTACTGATGGAGAATTGAATGATAGATTGGGGCTGGGGGCCACCTTCAGACATTACCTGAAATTTAAACATACCAGTGAATGCCTAGAACATGGAGGGAGGTCACATCTCTTTTCTCAACATTTTGTCCAAATAACTTGACTTCTTTATTGCTCCCCACTTCCTACTAGGCATATCCCACAATGACTCAAATGCAGAAGAAATGGAAGTGCTACAAATGATCAATCGGATTCCAAGAGATAGTTCAGATCATGTTCAATATGGGACAGAGAAAATACTAATTTTCTTCTCTATCAGATTCTGGTGTACTTGGTTGGGAGTAGACAAGAGGAGGTCAATAGGAAGTGATTGTGTGTGTGTGTGTCTTGGGGAGGGACAGAGGTGGGATGAGGAGAAAGCACAAATCTTATTTTTTGTCTTTAAGATCACCTGCATCATGTTCGTTGGAATCAGTGTCATTTTCTTTGGAATAAGTCTGAATGGAGGAAACACCTTGCAGGAGAAAAACAAAAGGACAACTGTGAGTAACTAGAGTCAATTTCATAACAAATGATCACACCGCTTATTCTAAGGAAAAAAATCCTAATTATGTGTAATGAAGTTATACACATAAAGACATGTATTTAATTTGAGTCATAAATACAAAGTTTATTTGTAATAGCAAAAAATTATAAATTACATGAGAATGCTTAAAAATATATATCCACTCATTGGAACAAAAATGACCATTAAAATTATGTTTACCATTACCTTTCTTTTTTACAAACATATAAAGGGAGGGGGACACAATAATTAACTCTCAGGTATCTATTACCCAGTTTCAACAATCACCAACACATGGCCAACAATTAGCTTTTAATAACATATAAAAATAATTTTGATACAAGACTAAGATGAAAAGAACAGTGTGATTCATCCATGTTAAAATAAGCCTAGGGAAAAAAATGAAGGAAATACACTGAAATATTAATAATGGTTGCCTCTAAGTAGTAGAATTACAGAATGATTTTCATTCTGCATCTTTATATTTTTTTGTGCTTTCCAAATTTTCTACAAGAAGTATATTATTTTTATAAAGAAAAACCAAAACCAAAACCAAAACCAAATTACATATTGTTGCAAGAGTCAGATAAGTTTAATTTTTTTCAAATTATTTTCAACTTGTGTAAACTCAACAGAGAAAGATAAATAATGCAAAGTAAAATGAAGTATGAATTTTGAATGAGATTACTTCCTTACTTCAATTTGCTGAGGCGCTGATGTGACTTTTCTCCCCATCTTGTCCCTGGCAGTAGCCACAAGTGTGGTTTGCCCAACAGTGGCAGCTTGAAGGATATGATTTTCAGAGTATTCGTCTTGTTCCTCCATCAGCCTGCAAAGACCCATGTGTTTTTAAGGAAAGAAGACTTCGTTTTAAGAGTGGCCAGTTATGCATCTTCCTAAGATGCTTAACATTTTCAGTTCATCTTAACTCTAGTTAAAAGGAACTGCCAGAAAATAAATTGCCAGAGTCAAGACAAAATTCCTGGCAATCGCAGGAAGCTCCTGAAGGCCAAAAATGTGTTACAGAGCTCCAAAGGAATAAGGGCAATATAAACATAAGACTAACAAAATTGCAAATATTAAACTGCATTGGAAGTGCTGTTATTTCCTCTTTTTCCAAGGGGAATACCAGTAGCTGCCTCTAAAGAGACTTTGAAAGGTCTTTTAGCTTGAAGCACCCCCAAAGGATATCATCCAAGGAGAAGTTTCATGAAGTGGAAATATTAATGAGACACATGATTTTAGCCCCCAAACAAGACATCTGAGGACCTGGAAAGGGTATTTTGTAGGGAGCTAAATATGGGAAGAGAATATGGTAAGTTACTGTTAATTACTGGGACAAAAAAGGAAGGAAAAAACACTGATATAACAGAGGGCAGAGCTGAGCAGGCTACCAGGAGGGAGATTGCGTGACATTAAGCACAGGGAGAAGTACTGAAATGGTACTCACGTCAGGGTGACAATGGCAGAAGCCACCTGCAGTTTGAGGTCCATGTTTCTGAAGTATTTATTTCGGAATGGGCGTTTGGAAGAGTCAAGAACCCTTACAGTTACTAGTACAGTTTTACCTATTTCAACCTAGTAGTTTAAATAAAAGGGTAATTTTAGTAGAGGTGTCTCATTCACCAAGGACAATCTGATTTTTAGAGGGCAATCTAACTCATAGAGGTGCATAGTTCTTTTTTGTTCAGGCTAAATGTTCCTGGTCAGTCTTTGATTAAATAAGCCTAATCTAAGTGTACTATTTGAGGTTGTTCTTTCATACTCTATTTATCCTCATCATGTTTAATGTTGGAATGTTATTCCTTAGGGACAGGTATTTCCATTAACATCAAAGGTTCTGCTGCACACACCCGGAAGTTGAGCAGAGACTATATTAAGTGATGCTAGAGTGAGAATGAGGCCTGCTTCATTTACGAGGTAAAGTAAACATCTCCCACCTTATCAATCAGATCAAGTTCCAGCTCTAGTATATCTGACACTCTGAGGTGGGCCATTGCTGGACCCAAGAAAGCCAAGCACAGATCATAGACCTCCAAGGTGAGAAATCCAGGCTGTACTGGAACCAACTGGAAGGAGGAAGGTGGTAGCTAGGTAAAGAAGCAAACACACTCCAAGCATAATAATCATAGCCATTATTTTCACACAAAAAGGAACAAATAACTTCCTTCCTTTTGATGGGAACTCTGAGAGGTCACATTTACATGTCTCAGGCATAGCACAGTATGTATCCTTAATGTGATGCTTCAGTTAATTGTGAAATATGTGCCCTTACCAAATATTAAACTGATAAAGAACAGAGTTTAAGATGATTGAATTCAAGCAGAATCCAACATACATATCCAGCTTCTAAATTATGTACGGGGAAAGAATTTCATGAGCAAAACTCAGTCTGTTTATTTTAAACTAGACAGTAGAGGGAGAAAGCCCTGGGAGGACCCATACTTTGTTTTCCTTCTTATACTAGAGCCCCGGCCCAACAGCATGTTTTTTCATAATGCCTCAATATCCCCCTTTAAAAACAAACATTATGACTAAAGTAATTAAACTCTTTTGAGTTCTTAGAAGTAAAGGAAATATATACATATGTTATTGTAACATATCATTTTTAATACCACAGGTCAACTAAAGGCAAATCCCTTGGCCTGTTGACTATGGAGATAGCTTAATGTTTTGAGTTGTCATATTCTAGTTGATGAAAACACCATATACTTGGGTTATAAAGTTGAAAGTACATCTAAACATCCACATAGTTCTGTGCTTTGAAATTTATAGAAATGAACCTTCTTTTAATAATGGAAATCTTATAATTAGATGTCCCTACATTGTCTCAGTTCAGCCAGAAAAATTGCCCAGTATGGTCACTAGTTGCAGAAAAGAAAAACCACCCCTTGTATTTGGTTGAAGAATCTATGTAGGTGGTGTGTGTGGGGTCACAGGGAAGACAGCCTAGCACAGAGAAGACAAGTAGGGACTCTGTGGCATATTACTATACTGATGGACAGTGACTGCAATGGGGTATGCAGGGGGACTTGATAATACGGTGAATGTTGTAACCACATTGTTTTTCTTGTGAAACCTTCATAAGAGTATATATCAATGATACCTTAATAAAAACAAAGAATCTATGTAGGTTAAAAAAAGAAAAAAGGCAAATGTTACTTTTGTAACAAGTTTAAGACATGCAGTGGAATTTTTCCTATCATTCTTCTAAGAAGGAACTTAGATCTGAGCTCATCAATCTAGGAATATCTCTAGAACTCACCTGGACAGAGCTTTCTGCTTCCATGTAAGTGATTGTGACAATGTCCTGCTCACTGCTGTTGACTAAAAAATAACCAGACCCTTCCACAAGGCTAAATATTTCCTATGGAAAAATCAGACAAACAATATTCCATTCACTTCAGTTTATAAATAATTCAAAGAAAATAAATTTCTATCTACTGAAGAAAGAATATGAGATTATCAATTAAGGCCAGTGGACCAAAGACAAAACATGATTATTAAAGTATAACCCATTATGATATTGTAGTTATTATTATATATGCATTATATGTGTGTATCAGTGATATTCAACACATAAGTGAGCTTTTACATTGTTATACTATTCATTTTAATAAGCTAATACTTTCCCCTGCAATATGATTCTATTGAACTAGACCCATACAGCTTCTACCTTCACATCAGGGTGATTATAGATGGTGGCATTCTTAGGCAATACAGTTACATCATCCACCAGGAGCAGCTCCACCCGTGCAGATCTGGGCAGGTCGGAAAGTTCCTGAAAATGTAGTAAGAACTGCAAAGGTGATTATATAGACTTTCAGTTCCTCAGCTGAGTGAGAGAAGATCCTAGCACTCTTTCAAGTGCCAAAGATAACAGAATCATAGAGGTGCATAGTTCTCAGATTAATATCAGTTATAAATGACATTTAAAAAAGAGCCTTAAATTTCAGTTATTTAATTTATGTTTCTTATATAACAATCTCCACTTACCTTTGGACTTCTCTTCTCTGAATAGTCCACAAAATTGACTCCAATGAGTACAGTCCCTTTTAACTGATGTACTTTTAGGATCTGATGACCTAGAGATATACAGAAAAATACCCTATGAGAAACAATAACATATAAAATACAAAAATGTCTCCAGAAAACCAAATTCTGCCTTCCTTTTTTCCAAATGATGCTTTATTGCAGGGAAAAAAAACCCCACTGATTTGGGAAATACACAAGAACAGAAAACTGGGTTTTTGTGCTGACTGCCACTATATTCCTATGTGACCATGGGCAACCACTTTATTTCTCAGTATCTTTATTAAATGAGGAATAGAGCCAGGCAAAACCCAAACTTTCTTCCAGCTCTGATGGTTTATGAGTCCAAAAACAAACTCACAATTATATGGGGAAATTTTTGTTTCATTTAAAAATGGGAGTGAAAAATAATAATCATTTGGGACTCTTCACTCTTCTCAACTGTTTTGTACATGTAAATGTCATGTTAGTCCCTTACCAAAAATTTGAAATGGCTAACCATTCCTAATTGGAGCAATTCAGACTCATTATAACTAGAATTTGGAGCCTTCCATATCCATTCATTCTTTTTTCTTTCTTTCATTTCAAAATTTAACTAACATGAATCTGCCACTTTCTTAGGTCAATTCTTACTTTATCCTCAACCCATTACGATAATGCCTAAATCTGTGGAACATTTTCTCATGATGTTACACCCATTCATTCATTTGTTCCACAAAGATATTGAGGGTCAGGTAATTAGGATACAGAGATGAAGGAGAAAACACAATAATTTGCCTTCAAAGAAGCCCACAGCTTAGTATGGTAACTAAGAGGTAAACCAACCACTGCAATACATGCTGTGGTAAGTTATTACAGAAGGAGGTACAGAGCACATGTATACAGAGTATATAAGACTACACATAAGGGATACTTTCCTTATATTGGGAATATGCAGGGACAGAAAACTCCCAGATTACTAGGGAAAGATTTCAGCCCAGTGAAGATGCAAGAAAAGAGAACATAACAACATATGTAAAGGAAAGCGGTATGATAAGCCTTGCCATGGTAAAAGTATCTAAAGTTGTTAAGTGTGAGAAAAATGTAGGGTATATGTGGGTGGCAATAGGAGGTGAAGCCAAAGAAGCAGGCAGGTGTTGGTATGTTAAGCTGCAACATGAGTTTTATCCTGAAAAACATGGGGGGTTCCTGAATACAGTATGGTGACAGTATAGTCAGTGGTTAAGAGTATAGTCCTTGATGTCAGAGAGCTTGCTGCTTCATCTATTTATGTTGTAATCTCAGAGCCTAAAACTGTACCTTGAATAAAGTAAGAACTCACTAAATGTTTGATGAATCAGTAAACTTACATATTTGGGATAATAATGTCAGTCTCTTGTTGTTAATGAGGATTATATGAGAAAATGTATATAAATTACTTAGTGTGGTGCCTGGCATTATCATAAGAGCTCCTTAAACAGAATTTTAAGAAAGAGAATTTTAAGAAAGAGATCCAGATTTGTATTTTAGAAAGATCATTTCGAACAGTAGTGTGGAGGATGAGTTAGAGAATAGCAGAGACACAATGAGATCAGTTAGGAGGCTTCTGTGGTAATGCAGAATAGGGGTGATGAGGACATTAGTGATGGTGTTAGAGAGGAAGGGATGAAACTAAAAAAAAATTAGAAGATAACACTAATGGTGTTTGGTGATTGGTTGTTAGAGGGGAGTATCTCTTACTTCTCTACCATGTTTTATACTAACTGTATAAAACTACTGGTATTATACTATTATATACATACCAGTATTATGTTGCCATGTTCTCTAGCTAAACTCATAAACTTGTCTGAGTATAAGCTCCCTGTGGGTAAGGAAAAGGTTAAATCTTATTTCTCTTTCTGTAGTGTTCCTTATTCTATTGAATGGTTAAACTATCTATCCAAATGCTCATGCCAGAAACTTAAAAGCTACACTTTATACAAGTTTCTTCTTCACCTTTGGGATTGATTTGTGGTAAATTATTATATGAATGGCCTGCAATGAATCATGCCTGCTGGTATCCATGCTCTTGAGTAGTCCTCACTGACCTTGACTCTGGTTTTGGCCAGGCGGCTTGATTTTGCGAATGGGACATCAGCAAATGAGATACAAACAGAGGCTCAATGGGGATTGCTCAAGAGGGCTTGTTGCCCTTTCAGAACCTCAGCTAGTGCCTCTTGCCCCCTCTCTAAGTTAGTCTCACTCTAATTATTCAGCTCATTCTATTTTCTCTTTCTGCCATCTCTTCAGGACTCAGCATAAATTATTTCTTAGGGCAGCCTTCTCTGCCATTTGTGACAACATGGATGGACCCAGAGGGTATTATGGTAGGTGAAATAAGCCAGGTAGAGAAAGACAAATACCACATGATTTCACTTATTTATGGAATATAAATGCAAAACAAAACAAAATGAACAAAATAGCAGAAGACTCATAGACATTGGGGAATGACTGGTGGTTACCATGGTGGGAAGGGTTGGGGTGGGTGGGTGGAGGGGATGATGGAGATAAAGGGCACAAAAATTCTAAATCATAATATAAATTGGTCATGGGGATGGTAGTACAGGATAAAGAATATAGCCAATGATTCTGTAACATCTTCCTAGGTTGGCAGATAGTAATTGCACTAGTGGTGGGAGGAAGATTTAATAATATGGGAAACTGTTGAACCATTCTGTTGTATACTTGAAATCAATATAAGACTATACATCAACTGTTTCAATTTAAAAAAAGGAAAGAATAATTTAAAATTAATTTAATTTTATATCCTTATGAGTAATGTTGGATCCTTTACCCTAGCTTTGCAAACAAGGAAATTTCACATTTTCTAAAACTACAAAGTTCATAAATGAAAGGTGAGATATGAAAAAATCTGATATAAACCATCACCCCATAAGGAAATACTTAGTGCCGAGCTATTTAGCAGGTATATGAAAGGATTTGTGTATTTTCACGATACCATGTAGCCAGGTCTGCCCACTGCCATCATCCTTTGCTACCATCTCCACTGATTTATAATCTTCAAAGTGAGCTAGTGTTTCATTTGAGGATTTCCATTCTAGAATTAGTGAACTGAAATTATCAAACTTTCTCCTGTGTTGATCAAATACGGCCAGTTCCAGGACTGTGTCCCTCAGGCTTGATATAGGAATCTAAATTAAAATAAAAAGAAAGAAAAGAAAAGAAACAATAGCTTAACAGGTGGTAAAATATCCCTGAATCAAGGTATTATGTTTTCTCCCAATCTTTTTTCTTTGACAATTTTCAAACTTACAAATATGTTGAAAGAGTAGTATAATGAATACCTATACATACTTCATCTGGATTCACCATCTGCTTTCTCCATCTCTCCCTCTACTTTCCCATCCTGTGTGTGTGTGTGTGTGTGTGTGTGTGTGTTTGCCAAAAGATATAGGCATCATGACACTTTTCATGACACATGTAAATATTTCAGCATGCATTTCCTAAGAATGAGAACATTCTCCTAACAAAAACAATATTACATCACAAGAGTATTAACATTAATTCAATGTCATCTAATATACAG